GGATTACGTATACAGGAGAGCAGAAAGCCATATCTCCGCAACCGTCCCACGCAGACATGTCATATCTGGTATCTGGACGTTCAGAATGTCTGTCAGGGCTCCGGGAATGACGAGAGGTGTGGGGCCCGACACAGGGAAACGCAGGCTCCGGGAATGACCAGAGGTGTGGGGCCCGACACAGGGAAACGCAGGCTCCGGGAATGAGCAGAGGTGTCGGGCCCGACACAGGGAAACGCAGGCTCCGGGAATGACCAGAGGTGTGGGGCCCGACACAGGGAAACGCAGGCTCCGGGAATGACCAGAGGTGTGGGGCCCGACACAGGGAAACGCAGGCTCCGGGAATGACCAGAGGTGTGGGGCCCGACACAGGGAAACGCAGGCTCCGGGAATGACCAGAGGTGTGGGGCCCGACACAGGGAAACGCAGGCTCCAGGTATGACCAGAGGTGTGGGGCCCGACACAGGGAAACGCAGGCTCCGGGAATGACCAGAGGTGTGAGGACCGACACAGGGAAACGCAGGCTCCGGGAATGACCAGAGGTGTGTGGGGCCCGACACAGGGAAACGCAGGCTCCGGGTATGACCAGAGGTGTGTGGGACCGATACAGGGAAACGCAGGCTCCGGGAATGACCAGAGGTGTGTGGGGACCGATACAGGGAAACGCAGGCTCCAGGTATGACCAGAGGTGTGTGGGACCGACACAGGGAAACGCAGGCTCCGGGTATGACCAGAGGTGTGTGGGACCGACACAGGGAAACGCAGGCTCCGGGAATGACCAGAGGTGTGTGGGACCGACACAGGGAAACGCAGGCTCCGGGAATGACCAGAGGTGTGTGGGACTGACACAGGGAAACGCAGGCTCCGGGAATGACCAGAGGTGTGAGGGACCGACACAGGGAAACGCAGGCTCCAGGTATGACCAGAGGTGTGTGGGACCGATACAGGGAAACGCAGGCTCCGGGAATGACCAGAGGTGTGTGGGACCGACACAGGGAAACGCAGGCTCCGGGAATGACCAGAGGTGTGTGGGACCGACACAGGGAAACGCAGGCTCCAGGTATGACCAGAGGTGTGTGGGACCGATACAGGGAAACGCAGGCTCCGGGAATGACCAGAGGTGTGTGGGACTGACACAGGGAAACGCAGGCTCCGGGAATGACCAGAGGTGTGTGGGGACCGATACAGGGAAACGCAGGCTCCGGGAATGACCAGAGGTGTGTGGGACTGACACAGGGAAACGCAGGCTCCGGGAATGACCAGAGGTGTGTGGGATAAAACACAGGGAAACGCAGGCTCCGGGAATGACCAGAGGTGTGTGGGACCGATACAGGGAAACGCAGGCTCCGGGTATGACCAGAGGTGTGGGGACCGACACAGGGAAACGCAGGCTCCGGGAATGACCAGAGGTGTGAGGACCGACACAGGGAAACGCAGGCTCCGGGAATGACCAGAGGTGTGTGGGACCGATACAGGGAAACGCAGGCTCCAGGAATGACCAGAGGTGTGTGGGATAAAACACAGGGAAACGCAGGCTCCGGGAATGACCAGAGGTGTGTGGGACCGATACAGGGAAACGCAGGCTCCAGGAATGACCAGAGGTGTGTGGGATAAAACACAGGGAAACGCAGGCTCCGGGAATGACCAGAGGTGTGGGACCGACACAGGGAAACGCAGGCTCCAGGTATGACCAGAGGTGTGTGGGACCGACACAGGGAAACGCAGGCTCCGGGAATGACCAGAGGTGTGTGGGACCGACACAGGGAAACGCAGGCTCCGGGAATGACCAGAGGTGTGTGGGACCGACACAGGGAAACGCAGGCTCCGGGAATGACCAGAGGTGTGGGGCCCGACACAGGGAAACGCAGGCTCCGGGAATGACCAGAGGTGTGTGGGACCGACACAGGGAAACGCAGGCTCCGGGAATGACCAGAGTGTGTGGGACCGATACAGGGAAACGCAGGCTCCAGGTATGACCAGAGGTGTGTGGGACCGATACAGGGAAACGCAGGCTCCAGGTATGACCAGAGGTGTGTGGGACCGACACAGGGAAACGCAGGCTCCGGGAATGACCAGAGGTGTGGGGCCCGACACAGGGAAACGCAGGCTCCGGGAATGACCAGAGGTGTGTGGGACCGACACAGGGAAACGCAGGCTCCGGGAATGACCAGAGGTGTGTGGGACCGACACAGGGAAACGCAGGCTCCGGGAATGACCAGAGGTGTGTGGGACCGACACAGGGAAACGCAGGCTCCGGGAATGACCAGAGGTGTGAGGACCGACACAGGGAAACGCAGGCTCCGGGAATGACCAGAGGTGTGTGGGACTGACACAGGGAAACGCAGGCTCCGGGAATGACCAGAGGTGTGTGGGACTGACACAGGGAAACGCAGGCTCCGGGAATGACCAGAGGTGTGGGGCCCGACACAGGGAAACGCAGACTTCAGGTATGACCAGAGGTGTGAGGACCGACACAGGGAAACGCAGGCTCCAGGTATGACCAGAGGTGTGAGGACCGACACAGGAAAACTCAGGCTCCGGGAATGACCAGAGGTGTGTGGGCCCGACACAGGGAAACGCAGGCTCCGGGAATGACCAGAGGTGTGTGGGACCGACACAGGGAAACGCAGGCTCCGGGAATGACCAGAGGTGTGTGGGACCGACACAGGGAAACGCAGGCTCCGGGAATGACCAGAGGTGTGTGGGACCGACACAGGGAAACGCAGGCTCCGGGAATGACCAGAGGTGTGAGGACCGACACAGGGAAACGCAGGCTCCGGGAATGACCAGAGTTGTGAGGACCGACACAGGGAAACGCAGGCTCCGGGAATGACCAGAGGTGTGTGGGACCGACACAGGGAAACGCAGGCTCCGGGAATTACCAGAGGTGTGTGAGGACCGACACAGGGAAACGCAGGCTCCGGGAATGACCAGAGGTGTGAGGACCGACACAGGGAAACGCAGGCTCCGGGAATGACCAGAGGTGTGAGGACCGACACAGGGAAACGCAGGCTCCGGGAATGACCAGAGGTGTGTGGGACCGACACAGGGAAACGCAGGCTCCGGGAATGACCAGAGGTGTGTGGGACCGACACAGGGAAACGCAGGCTCCGGGAATGACCAGAGGTGTGTGGACCGACACAGGGAAACGCAGGCTCCGGGAATGACCAGAGGTGTGGGGACCGACACAGGGAAACGCAGGCTCCGGGTATGACCAGAGGTGTGAGGACCGACACAGGGAAACGCAGGCTCCGGGAATGACCAGAGGTGTGTGGGACCGACACAGGGAAACGCAGGCTCCGGGAATGACCAGAGGTGTGAGGACCGACACAGGGAAACGCAGGCTCCGGGAATGACCAGAGGTGTGTGGGACCGACACAGAAACACAGACTTCAGGTATAGCGTGTAAACAAGATCATTTATTAAGGACAACACAAACATAAACGCAGTGCAACAAACCAAACCCAAAACTAACACAAATACAGACAAGAAGGTGCAACAAACCCAAACCTAAACTGATATATATATATATGGAGCACAACGTAGTCGGGCGGGGCCGGGTCGGTAGCTAACGGGCAAACAGTACCAGGAGCGAGCGGAAGAGTGGTCAGGAATAGCCGAGGTCAGGACAGGCGGAGTTCGTTCAGAGTCAGGATCAAAGCAGGAAGCAGACATGATGCAGGTACAGGGGCTCATGGGAAACATACACCAAGGCACTGATCACAGGCCTGGTCCTGCTTAAATACACCTCCTGCAATCAGCCTCAGGTGATGGCCTGATTGCAGGAGAGAGATTCTGGCTGCTGAGAGCACCCACTGGCCAGCCTTGGTACTGCAGCCCACAAGGCAGGTGAGTCCCACCACCATTGGCGAGTCCATTCCTGACAATATGATTCTGCAGATTATCCTACCCGTGGATAGAACGTTACATGTACCTAGGGAAGGTTATTGCCCCGGGTATAACTTGGGAGGGATTTGGTCATAGCCTGAGTTCCCCGCCTACAACACCCCTCCCCAAATGAGGCGATTGGTTCTCTGCTGTAAGGAGACACCCTGCTGAGTTCATAGAAAAGAGGTTGTGAGGCTCGGAGCAGTAAGTTGAAGAAATCTCCCTTTTAACACCAGGAAGCAACTTGAGGGACGACAACCTTTTGCTCTGAAACTTGATCTGCTTAAGCCAAGGCGGACGGAAGTACTCTAAACTTCTTCCTGTTATCTCTTTGCTGTGTTATTGTCCTTTTGTATTTATATATATTACATCTTTTCTGTAAATATTTTTATTGCACCCTTTTGACCTTTTTAGTAATAAATCTTATTTTCTGAAAGGTGAACTGTTTCTAAAGCTCTTTAATGCAAACTAAGAATCCCTGACTCTAAAGAGCGCTACTGTGTGTGTTCAAACCTCTGTATAACCTGCCTGCGGTGACCGTGGTATACAGACGATTATTCAAACATCACAGTGTTATTACTAATATTGGCGAATTTCCTCCTTTTCTGTACAAAAAGGAGGTGGTGGCAGTGTGAAGGGTTAATTGCGTAATTACCTGACCCAGTAACAATCGCTCCCAGGCTGCAGATACACAGGTTGTGGTCCATTAGCTGGAAAACCTTTGTGCAGGGTGCAGCTGGGCGTGGCATTGTTACACACGTGACATTGCGGTTTTAGATTGGCTAGTCCTTCGGTCACGAGTTGGTGAGAAGGGCTAGGGGTCTGATGCCATGATCGTCACAGAATATATTGGGGTAGAGAGTTCCAGAGGATGGGGGAAGCTCTGGAGAAGTCCTGGATATGAGCAAGGGAGGAGGAGACAAGGGGGCTAGAGAGCAGGAGGTTGTGTGAGGAGCGGAGAGTTCGGTTTGGGTGATATTTGGAGACAAGATTGGTGATGTAATTTGGGGCGGAGTTATAAATGGTTTTATATGTGATTGTTGATGTTCTGAATTGTATCCATTGGGCAATGGGAAGCCAGAGAGGGGTGGTGGACACTGAATGGAGGCCAGTGGAGGGATTGGCAGAGAGGGGTGGAGGACACTGAATGGAGGCCAGTGGAGGGATTGGCAGAGAGGGGGGGAGGACACTGATGGAGGCCAGTGGAGGGATTGGCAGAGAGGGGAGGAGGACACTGAATGGAGGCCAGTGGAGGGATTGGCAGAGAGGGGAGGAGGACACTGAATGGAGGCCAGGTGAGGGATTGGCAGAGAGGGGTGGAGGACACTGAATGGAGGCCAGTGGAGGGATTGGCAGAGAGGGATGGAGGACACTGAGTGGAGGCCAGTGGAGGGGAGGGGCAGAGAGGGTGGAGGAGACTGAAGGGGGAGGTGAGGAGGAGACTGAAGGGGGAGGTGAGGAGGAGACTGAAGGGGCGAGGTGAGGAGGAGACTGAAGGGGGAGGTGAGGAGGAAACTGAAGGGGTGAGGTGAGGAGGAGACTGAAGGGGAGGTGAGGAGGAGACTGAAGGGGGAGGTGAGGAGGAGACTGAAGGGGTGAGGAGGAGACTGAAGGGTGAGGTGAGGAGGAGACTGAAGGGGTGAGGTGAGGAAGAGACTGAAGGGGTGAGGTGAGGAGGAGACTGAAGGGGTGAGGTGAGGAGAGACTGAAGGGGCGAGGTGTGGAGGAGACTGAAGAGGCGAGGTGAGGAGGAGACTGAAGGGGCGAGGTGTGGAGGAGACTGGAGGGGCGAGGTGAGGAGGAGACTGAAGGGGCGAGGTGTGGAGGAGACTGAAGGGGAGAGGTGAGGAGGAGACTGAAGGGGCGAGGTGGTGAGGAGGAGACTGAAGGGGGAGGTGTGGAGGGAGACTGAAGGGGGAGGTGAGGAGGAGACTGAAGGGGCGAGGTGTGGAGGAGACTGGAGGGGGGGTGAGGAGGAGACTGAAGGGCGAGTGTGGAGGAGACTGAAGGGGCGAGGTGAGGAGGAGACTGAAGGGGCGAGGTGAGGAGGGAGACTGAAGGGGCGAGGTGAGGAGGAGACTGAAGGGGGAGGGTGAGGAGGAGACTGAAGGGGAGGTGAGGAGGAGACTGAAGGGGCGAGGTGTGGAGGAGACTGAAGGGGCGAGGTGAGGAGGAGACTGGGGGGGGAGGTGAGGAGGAGACTGAAGGGGTGAGGGGGAGGAGACTGAAGGGGTGAGGAGGAGACTGAAGGGGTGAGGTGAGGAGGAGACTGAAGGGGGTGAGGAGGAGACTGAAGGGGTGAGGTGAGGGGAGGAGACTGAAGGGGGAGGTGAGGAGGAGACTGAAGGGATTTTTTTTTGAGGTGAGGAGGAGACTGAAGGGGTGAGGTGAGGAGGAGACTGAAGGGGTGAGGTGAGGAGGAGACTGAAGGGGGAGGTGAGGAGGAGACTGAAGGGGCGAGGTGAGGAGGAGACTGAGGGGGCGAGGTGAGGGGTAGAAAGATAGATTTGTGTGTCATCAGCATAGAGATGGTACTTAAAGCCATGGGAGGGTTATCGAGTGACCAAGGGAGGAGGTGTAGATGGAGAAGAGAAGGGGTCCAAGGACAGAACATGGAGGGACCCCTACAGAGAGGGGGAGGAGGCAGAGTTATAGGTAATGCTGAAGGAGCACTGTGATAGGTAGGAGGAGAACCAGGAGAGGGCGGGAGTCTCAGAGGCCAAGAGAGTGGAGTTTTTGAGGAGGTGGGGGGGGATGGTCAACCGTGTCAAAAGCCGTAGAGAGGTCAAGTAGTAAGAGTACGGAGTGGCGGCCATTGGTTGGGAGGAGTACGGAGTGGCGGCCATTGGTTGGGATGAGTACGGAGTGGCGGCCATTGGTTGGGATGAGTACGGAGTGGCGGCCGTTGGTTGGGAGGAGTACGGAGTGGCGGCATTGGGTGGGAGGAGTACGGAGTACTAGTGGCGGCCGTTGGTGGGAGGAGTACGGAGTGGCGGCCGTTGGGTGGGAGGAGTACGGAGTGGCGGCCGTTGGGTGGGAGGAGTACGGAGTGGCGGCCGTTAGTTGGGAGGAGCTGGATTGGCGGCCGTTGGTTGGGAGGAGTACGGAGTGGCGGCCGTTTGGTGGGAGGAGTACGGAGTGGCGGCCGTTGGGTGGGAGGAGTACGGGAGTGGCGGCCGTTGTTGGGAGGAGTACTGGAGATTGGCGGCCGTTGGTGGGAGGAGTACGGGAGTGGCGGCCGTTGGGTGGGAGGAGTACGGAGATTGAAGTGGCGGCCGTTAGTTGGGAGGAGCTGGATTGGCGGCCGTTGGTTGGGAGGAGTACGGAGTGGTGGCCGTTGCGTTGGGAGGAGTACGGAGTGGCGGCCGTTGGGTGGGAGGAGTACGGAGTGGCGGCCGTTGGTTGGAAGGAGTACGGAGTAGTGACCATTGGTTGGGATGAGTACGGAGTAGTGGCCATTGGTTGGGATGAGTACGGAGTAGTGACCATTGGTTGGGGATGAGTACGGAGTAGTGGCCATTGGTTGGGATGAGTACGGAGTAGTGGCCATTGGTTGGGATGAGTACGGAGTAGTGGCCATTGGTTGGGAGGAGTACGGAGTAGTGGCCATTGGTTGGGATGAGTACGGAGTAGTCGGGGCCATTGGTTGGGATGAGTACGGAGTAGCGGCCATTGGTTGGGATGAGTACGGAGTAGTGGCCATTGGTTGGGATGAGTACGGAGTGGCGGCCGTTGGTTGGGAGGAGTACGGAGTGGCGGCCGTTGGGTGGGAGGAGTACGGAGTAGTTGGGAGGAGTACGGAGTGGCGGCCGTTGGGTGGGAGGAGTACGGAGATGGGTGGAGGTAGAGATGTTGGGTGGAGCTAGGACCCCAATCCCTCCTCTCCCCTCTCTCTGGACTCTCCTGTCCGGGTGACATGCGGCCCCTCCCCCCCGCACATGTACTTAGCACCTCCCCTGTCCGGGTGTCGCTCCTCCACAACTCGGATCCAGGAAGGAGAACTGTCTGAGCTCCCAGCATCCACCAATCACACGTATTCTTCATTTCTCCCTGCGAGCCCCGCCCCCTCTCCGATTCATCTGCCGCAATGGGGCGGGGACTGGGAAGACAGGGGGCGGGGACTGGGAAGGCAGGGGGCGGGGTTCTAGGAGACAGATCGCTCTCTCCCGCCCCCTCCTGTCACATGATTCCTCTGTCAGCGGTCACATGACCCGCCCTGTCCCCGCCCCCTTTGCACTGAGGCCAGGAAGGAAGATGATGAGCCGAGGAGACCCCGAACCTGAGGTGACCCCAACATCCCCCCCCCCCCCCCCGCACTACACCCCCCCCTCCCCACACACACTATATTCCCATCAACACCTCCATCATCACCCCACCGGGGGGGACCACAACTCCCAGCATTCCCTCCATCACCCCACCGGGGGGGGGGACCACAACTCCCAGCATTCCCTCCATCACCCTCACCGGGGGGGGGGGACCACAACTCCCAGCATTCCCTCCATCACCCCACCGGGGGGGGGGACCACAACTCCCAGCATTCCCTCCATCACCCCACCGGGGGGGGGGACCACAACTCCCAGCATTCCCTCCATCACCCCACCGGGGGGGGGACCACAACTCCCAGCATTCCCTCCATCACCCCACCGGGGGGGGGGACCACAACTCCCAGCATTCCCTCCATCACCCCACCGGGGGGGGGGGGGACCTCAACTCCCAGCATTCCCTCCATCACCCCACCGGGGGGGACCACAACTCCCAGCATTCCCTCCATCACCCCACCGGGGGGGGGGGACCACAACTCCCAGCATTCCCTCCATCACCCCACCGGGGGGGGGGGGACACAACTCCCAGCATTCCCTCCATCACCCCACTGGGGGGGGACCACAACTCCCAGCATTCCCTCCATCACCCCACCGGGGGGGGGACCACAACTCCCAGCATTCCCTCCATCACCCCACCGGGGGGGGGGACCACAACTCCCAGCATTCCCTCCATCACCCCCACCGGGGGGGGACCACAACTCCCAGGGGGGGGGGACCACAACTCCCAGCATTCCCTCCATCACCCCACCGGGGGGGGGCCACAACTCCCAGCATTCCCTCCATCACCCCACGGGGGGGGGGACCACAACTCCCAGCATTCCCTCCATCACCCCATTCCCTCCATCACCCCCCGGGGGGGGGGACCACAACTCCCAGCATTCCCTCCATCACCCCACCGGGGGGGGGGGGACCACCACTCCTCCCAGCATTCCCTCCATCATCACCCCACCGGGGGGGACCACAACTCCCAGCATTCCCTCCATCACCCCACGGGGGGGACCACAACTCCCAGCATTCCCTCCATCACCCCCCCCCAGGGGACCACAACTCCCAGCATTCCCTCCATCACCCCCCACCGGGGGGACCACAACTCCCAGCATTCCCTCCATCACCCCACGGGGGGGGACCACAACTCCCAGCATTCCCTCCATCACCCCACCGGGGGGGGGGCCACAACCTCCCAGCATTCCCTCCATCACCCCACCAGGGGGGGGGACCACAACTCCCAGCATTCCCTCCATCACCCCACCGGGGGGGGACCACAACTCCCAGCATTCCCTCCATCACCCCCCGGGGGGGGGGGACCTCAACTCCCAGCATTCCCTCCATCACCCCACCGGGGGGGGGGGCCACAACTCCCAGCATTCCCTCCATCACCCCACCGGGGGGGACCACAACTCCCAGCATTCCCTCCATCACCCCACCGGGGGGGGGGACCACAACTCCCAGCATTCCCTCCATCACCCCCCATTCCCTCCATCACCCCCCGGGGGGGGGACCACAACTCCCAGCATTCCCTCCATCACCCCACCGGGGGGGACCACAACTCCCAGCATTCCCTCCATCACCCCACCGGGGGGGGGGGGACCACAACTCCCAGCATTCCCTCCATCACCCCACCGGGGGGGGGACCACAACTCCCAGCATTCCCTCCATCACCCCACCGGGGGGGGGGACCACAACTCCCAGCATTCCCTCCATCACCCCACCGGGGGGGGGACCACAACTCCCAGCATTCCCTCCATCACCCCACCGGGGGGGGGACCACAACTCCCAGCATTCCCTCCATCACCCCACCGGGGGGGGGGGGGGGACCACAACTCCCAGGGGGGGGGGGACCACAACTCCCAGCATTCCCTCCATCACCCCACCGGGGGGGGGGGGACCACAACTCCCAGCATTCCCTCCATCACCCCACCGGGGGGGGGGCCACAACTCCCAGCATTCCCTCCATCACCCCACCGGGGGGGGGGGCCACAACTCCCAGCATTCCCTCCATCACCCCACCGGGGGGGGGGGGGGGGGCCACAACTCCCAGCATTCCCTCCATCACCCCACCGGGGGGGGGACCACAACTCCCAGCATTCCCTCCATCACCCCATTCCCTCCATCACCCCCCCGGGGGGGGACCACAACTCCCAGCATTCCCTCCATCACCCCACGGGGGGGGACCACAACTCCCAGCATTCCCTCCATCACCCCACGGGGGGGGACCACAACTCCCAGCATTCCCTCCATCACCCCCCCCCCAGGGGACCACAACTCCCAGCATTCCCTCCATCACCCCACCGGGGGGGACCACAACTCCCAGCATTCCCTCCATCACCCCCCACGGGGGGGACCACAACTCCCAGCATTCCCTCCATCACCCCACCGGGGGGGACCACAACTCCCAGCATTCCCTCCATCATTCCCCACACCCACCGGGGGGGGGGGCCACAACTCCCAGCATTCCCTCCATCACCCCACCGGGGGGGGACCACAACTCCCAGCATTCCCTCCATCACCCCACCGGGGGGAACACAACTCCCAGCATTCCCTCCATCACCCCCCCCCAGGGGGACCACAACTCCCAGCATTCCCTCCATCACCCCACGGGGGGGGGACCACAACTCCCAGCATTTCCTCCATCACCCCACCGGGGGGGGGGGGACCACAACTCCCAGCATTCCCTCCATCACCCCACCGGGGGGGGACCACAAACTCCCAGCATTCCTCCATCACCCCACCGGGGGGGAACACAACTCCCAGCATTCCCTCCATCACCCCACCGGGGGGGGACCACAACTCCCAGCATTCCCTCCATCATCACCCCACCGGGGGGGACCACAACTCCCAGCATTCCCTCCATCACCCCCCCTGGGGGGGGGACCAAAACTCCCAGCATTCCCTCCATCACCCCACGGGGGGGGGGACCACAACTCCCAGCATTCCCTCCATCACCCCCACCGGGGGGGGACCACAACTCCCAGCATTCCCTCCATCACCCCACCGGGGGGGGGGGGACCACACAACTCCCAGCATTCCCTCCATCACCCCACCGGGGGGGGACCACAACTCCCAGCATTCCCTCCATCACCCCACCGGGGGGGGGACCTCAACTCCCAGCATTCCCTCCATCACCCCACGGGGGGGACCATAACTCCCAGCATTCCCTCCATCACCCACCGGGGGACCATAACTCCCAGCATTCCCCTCCATCACCCCCGGGGGGACCATAACTCCCAGCATTCCCTCCATCACCCCACCGGGGGGGGGCCACAACTCCCAGCATCCTTCCTCATCACTGGAGGACTATAACTGCAAGCATCCCCCTCCCTCATCACACAGAGTGACCTGATCCTCCAGCCCCGTAGACAGTGGCCCCCTCCCCAGAGGGCGGGGCCCCCGTGGCCCTGGGCGGAGCCTTGTCACGTGGTCCTGTGGTTTCAGGTGGAGAGTCGGGAGGACGAGGAGCAGAATGTTAAACTGGCGGAGATCCTGGAGCTGCTGGTGGCAGCCGGGTACTTCCGGGCCAGGATCAAGGGGCTCTCCCCCTTCGACAAGGTGAGCTTCTGATTGGTTGTCTGTAGGTAGGGGGCAGGGTGGGGAGGCGTGTCCACTGTGACCAATCAGTCCTTAAAAGTAAAAGCTAGAACCTGATTGGTCACTGTGGGCCACACCCCCTACACTTCTGGCCACTTTCTGGTGCTGCGTTTGTATCATGTGACTTTGTCTCCGCCTACAGGTGTGTGGGCGGGATGACCTGGTGTATCACCACCTGCAACTTCGACATCGACGTGGACCTGCTCTTCCAGGAGAACTCCACCATTGGCCAGAAGATGTAAGTAGGCGGGAAGATGATGGGGGTGGGGTCTAATATCCATATACTTCAGGAATTTGGAGCTTGGCCCCGCCTCTTTTGAGGGTGACCCATGATTTAGAGAGTAGGAAGGGCCCCTTCCCTGAGGGTGACCCACAAGGTGAAGATTAGGCTGGGCCCCTTCCCTGAGGGTGACCCACGAGGTGAAGAGTAGGAAGGGCCCCTTCCATGAGGTGAAGAGTAGGCTGGGTCCCTTGCATGAGGGTGACCCACGAGGTGATAGTAGGACGGGCCCCTTCCAGGAGGGTGACCCATGAGGTGAAGAGTAGGACGGGCCCCTTCCATGAGGGTGACCCATGAGGTGAAGAGTAGGACGGGCCCCTTCCATGAGGGTGACCCACGAGGTGAAGAGTAGGACGGGCCCCTTCCATGAGGGTGACCCATGAGGTGAAGAGTAGGACGGGCCCCTTCTATGAGGGTGACCCACGAGGTGAAGAGTAGGACGGGCCCCTTCCATGAGGGTGACCCATGAGGTGAAGAGTAGGACGGGCCCCTTCCATGAGGGTGACCCACGAGGGTGAAGAGTAGGACGGGCCCCTTCCATGAGGGTGACCCACGAGGTGAAGAGTAGGACGGGCCCCTTCCATGAGGGTGACCCACGAGGTGAAGAGTAGGACGGGCCCCTTCCATGAGGGTGACCCACGAGGTGAAGAGTAGGACGGGCCCCTTCCGTGAGGGTGACCCACGAGGTGAAGAGTAGGACGGGCCCCTTCCATGAGGGTGACCCATGAGGTGAAGAGTAGGACGGGCCCCTTCCATGAGGGTGACCCATGAGGTGAAGAGTAGGACGGGCCCCTTCCATGAGGGTGACCCACGAGGTGAAGAGTAGGACGGGCCCCTTCCGTGAGGGTGACCCATGAGGAGGTGAAGATTAGGCTGGGCCCCTTCCGTGAGGGTGACCCACGAGGTGAAGATTAGGCGGGCCCCTTCCGTGAGGGTGACCCACGAGGTGAAGAGTAGGCTGGGCCCCTTCCGTGAGGGTGACCCATGAGGAGGTGAAGAGTAGGACGGGCCCCTTCCAGGAGGGTGACCCATGAGGAGGTGAAGAGTAGGACGGGCCCCTTCCGTGAGGGTGACCCATGAGGTGAAGAGTAGGACGGGCCCCTTCCGTGAGGGTGACCCATGAGGTGAAGAGTAGGACGGGCCCCTTCCGTGAGGGTGACCCATGAAGTGAAGAGTAGGACGGGCCCCTTCCAGGAGGGTGACCCATGAGGAGGTGAAGAGTAGGACGGGCCCCTTCCATGAGGGTGACCCATGAGGTGAAGAGTAGGACGGGCCCTTTCTGATGTTCAGCCCCAATCTTCCCTGAGGGTGACCCAGTTCTGGCCCCAGGGGCAGCGTGCCCCATACTGTTGCCATGGTTACTAATGACCGTCGTTCTCTCCTGGCAGAGCTCTGACTGAGAAGATCGTCTCCGTCCTTCCGAAGATGAAATGTCCTCAGAGGTTGGAGCCTCACCAGATCCAAGGCCTGGACTTCATCCACATCTTCCCCGTCATCCAGGTGAGTCGGAGCCCCGCAGGGGGTCATCATACCACCATTGGCCGGGCCTGGTCACCTGATAACTGTCACATGATCCCTATGCCTTATCCTCAAGGTAGCTTCCATTTCCTGGTGGAGTCGCATGTCTCTCCTGCCTTGGCTCGGCTGGATTTCAGCTGAGTGAGGAGCGAGGTGACGGGTCCTGATCCTGGGACTTACGTGTTGTGTTTGTTCGGCAGTGGCTGGTGAAACGCGCCATAGAGACCAGGCAGGAGATGGGGGACTACATCCGCTCCTACTCCGTGTCCCAGTTCCAGAAGGACCATCGACTCCCAGAGGTGAGGATTCATCATGGGGGAGGGAAGAGAGGAGGAGGAGGATGACTTCATCATGAGGGGGCGGGAAGAGGAGGAGGAGGATGACTATTCATCATGGGAATGGGAGATGGGGGACTACATCCGCTCCTACTCCCGTGTCCCAGTTCCAGAAGGACCATCGACTCCCAGAGGTGAGGATTCATCATGGGGGAGGGAAGAGGAGGAGGAGGATGACTTCATCATGAGGGGGCGGGAAGAGGAGGAAGAGGATGACTATTCATCATGGGAGTGGGAGATGGGGGACTACATCCGCTCCTACTCCGTGTCCCAGTTCCAGAAGGACCATCGACTCCCAGAGGTGAGGATTCATCATGGGGGAGGGAAGAGGAGGAGGAGGATGACTTCATCATGAGGGGGCGGGAAGAGGAGGAAGAGGATGACTATTCATCATGGGGGTGGGAGATGGGGGACTACATCCGCTCCTACTCCGTTGTCCCAGTTCCAGAAGGACCATCGACTCCCAGAGGTGAGGATTCATCATGGGGGAGGGAAGAGGAGGAGGAGGATGACTTCATCATGAGGGGGCGGGAAGAGGAGGATGACTATTCATCATGGGGGTGGGAGATGGGGGACTACATCCGCTCCTACTCCCGTTTCCCAGTTCCAGAAGGACCATCGACTCCCAGAGGTGAGGATTCATCATGGGGGAGGGAAGAGGAGGAGGAGGATGACTTCATCATGAGGGGGCGGGAAGAGGAGGATGACTATTCATCATGGGGGTGGGAGATGGGGGACTACATCCGCTCCTACTCCGTGTCCCAGTTCCAGAAGGACCATCGACTCCCAGAGGTGAGGATTCATCATGGGGGAGGGAAGAGGAGGAGGATGACTTCATCATGAGGGGGCGGGAAGAGGAGGAAGAGGATGACTATTCATCATGGGGGGGTGGGAGATGGGGGACTACATCCGCTCTACTACTCCGTGTCCCGGTTCCAGAAGGACCATCGACTCCCAGAGGTGAGGATTCATCATGGGGGAGGGAAGAGGAGGAGGAGGATGACTTCATCATGAGGGGGGGGCGGGAAGAGGAGGAAGAGGATGACTATTCATCATGGGGGTGGGAGATGGGGGACTACATCCGCTCCTACTCCGTGTTCCAGTTCCAGAAGGACCATCGACTCCCAGAGGTGAGGATTCATCATGGGGGAGGGAAGAGGAGGAGGATGACTTCATCATGGGGGGGCGGGAAAGAGGAGGAGGAGGACTTCATCATGGGGGGGGACAGGAAGAGGAGGAGGAGGAGGACTTCATCATGGGGGGGGCAGGAAGAGGAGGAGGAGGATGACTTCATCATGGGAGGGGCAGGGAAGAGGAGGAGGGGGACTTCATCATGGGGGGGGGGGGGGGAAGAGGAGGAGGATGACTTCATCATGGGGGGGGCACGAAGAGGAGGAGGAGGATGACTTCATCATGGGGGGGGCAGGAAGAGGAGGAGGATGACTTCATCATGGGGGGGGGGTGGGGTGGGAAGAGGAGGAGGATGACTTCATCATGGGGGGGGGGGGTGGGAAGAGGAGGAGGATGACTATTCCTCATGGGGCTCTGGAGGAGGAAGAAGAGGATGAATATTCATCATGGGGGGGGAAGGGGAGGATTCTGATTAATATTCATCATGGGGGGAGGGAAGAGGAGAAGGATGACTTCATCATGGGGGTGTGAGGAGGAAGAAGAGGATGAATATTCATCATGGGGGGGGGAAGGGGAGGATGCTGATGAATATTCATCATGGGGGGAGGGAAGAGAAGGATGAGTATCATGGCAGAGGGGAGGATGAGTCACATGGTACATTTCCTCTGTGTGGGTAATACACGGGGCCCCTGCTGGGTGACTCCTGCAGATACCGGTTCTTGTCATACTCCTCCTCTGGCTTCAGTCCTTTCTATGTCACCTGATCCAGGTGTTCTGACTTTACTGGCTGCATGCTTTTTTTTTTGGGTCAGTGATCAGAAAATACTAAAGAGGATCAGCATAACAGGTAATGAGTATGTACAGGGAGGGGGCGGTGACAAGCCGTGTATATTTCTCAGTTCCTATTGGTTGGATGAATGAGTTCTTCCAGTTGTGGGCGGAGCCGTCACTCTCCTCCGTCTCTATCTTCCAGGATGAAGAGTTTGCCGGCCGGCGGGAGAAGGCGGTGAGGACTCTGACAGAGACTTGTGTGAGTGATGATCCTCGGGGTCAGTGGGCTGCTGTGTCAATGCTGACACCAGGGGATGAGTATGGTGGGTGTTGGGGTCACGGGTTGGGAAGTTATGGTTGGTGGAGGGGGGAGGGCGGTGTTGGGGTCACGGGTTGGGAAGTTATGGTTGGTGGAGGGGGGAGGGCGGTGTTGGGGTCACGGGTTGGGAAGTTATGGTTGGAGGGTGGAGGGGGGAGGGCGGTGTTGGGGTCACGGGTTGGGAAGTTATGGTTGGGTGGAGGGGGGAGGGCGGTGTTGGGGTCACGGGTTGGGAAGTTATGGTTGGAGGGGGGAGGGCGGTGTTGGGGTCACGGGTTGGGAAGTTATGGTTGGTGGAGGGGGGAGGGCGGTGTTGGGGTCACGGGTTGGGAAGTTATGGTTGGTGGAGGGGGGAGGGCGGTGTTGGGGTCACGGGTTGGGAAGTTATGGTTGGTGGAGGGGGGAGGGCGGTGTTGGGGTCACGGGTTGGGAAGTTATGGTTGGTGGAGGGGGGGGGAGGGCGGTGTTGGGGTCACGGGTTGGGAAGTTATGTTGGTGGAGGGGGGAGGGCGGTGTTGGGGTCACGGGTTGGGAAGTTATGGTTGGTGGAGGGGGGAGGGCGGTGTTGGGGTCACGGGTTGGGAAGTTATGGTTGGTGGAGGGGGGGGAGGGCGGTGTTGGGGTCACGGGTTGGGAAGTTATGGTTGGTGAGGGGGAGGGCGGTGTTGGGGTCACGGGTTGGGAAGTTATGGTTGGTGGAGGGGGGAGGGCGGTGTTGGGGTCACGGGTTGGGAAGTTATGGTTGGTGGAGGGGGGAGGGCGGTGTTGGGGTCACGGGTTGGGAAGTTATGGTTGGTGGAGGGGGGAGGGCGGTGTTGGGGTCACGGGTTGGGAAGTTATGGTTGGTGGAGGGGGGAGGGCGGTGTTGGGGTCACGGGTTGGGAAGTTATGGTTGGTGGAGGGGGGAGGGCGGTGTTGGGGTCACGGGTTGGGAAGTTATGGTTGGTGGAGGGGGGAGGGCGGTGTTGGGGTCACGGGTTGGGAAGTTATGGTTGGTGGAGGGGGGAGGGCGGTGTTGGGGTCACGGGTTGGGAAGTTATGGTTGGTGGAGGGGGGAGGGCGGTGTTGGGGTCACGGGTTGGGAAGTTATGGTTGGTGGAGGGGGGAGGGCGGTGTTGGGGTCACGGGTTGGGAAGTTATGGTTGGTGGAGGGGGGAGGGCGGTGTTGGGGTCACGGGTTGGGAAGTTATGGTTGGTGGAGGGGGGAGGGCGGTGTTGGGGTCACGGGTTGGGAAGTTATGGTTGGTGGAGGGGGGGGAGGGCGGTGTTGGGGTCACGGGTTGGGAAGTTATGGTTGGTGGAGGGGGGGGAGGGCGGTGTTGGGGTCACGGGTTGGGAAGTTATGGTTGGTGGAGGGGGGAGGGCGGTGTTGGGGTCACGGGTTGGGAAGTTATGGTTGGTGGAGGGGGGGAGGGCGGTGTTGGGGTCACGGGTTGGGAAGTTATGGTTGGTGGAGGGGGGAGGGCGGGTGTTGGGGTCACGGGTTGGGAAGTTATGGTTGGTGGAGGGGGGAGGGCGGTGTTGGGGTCACGGGTTGGGAAGTTATGGTTGGTGGAGGGGGGAGGGCGGTGTTGGGGTCACGGGTTGGGAAGTTATGGTTGGTGGAGGGGGGAGGGCGGTGTTGGGGTCACGGGTTGGGAAGTTATGGTTGGTGGAGGGGGGAGGGCGGTGTTGGGGTCACGGGTTGGGAAGTTATGGTTGGTGGAGGGGGGAGGGCGGTGTTGGGGTCACGGGTTGGGAAGTTATGGTTGGGTGGAGGGGGGGAGGGCGGTGTTGGGGTCACGGGTTGGGAAGTTATGGTTGGTGGAGGGGGGAGGGCGGTGTTGGGGTCACGGGTTGGGAAGTTATGGTTGGTGGAGGGGGGAGGGCGGTGTTGGGGTCACGAGTTGGGAAGTTATGGTTGGTGGAGGGGGGGAGGGCGGTGTTGGGGTCACGAGTTGGGAAGTTATGGTTGGTGGAGGGGGGAGGGCGGTGTTGGGGTCACGGGTTGGGAAGTTATGGTTGGTGGAGGGGGGGGCGGATTTATAGTGATGGGGAGCAGGGGAGGGATTTATAGTGATGTGGAGCAGGGGAGGGGTTTATGGTGATAGGGATGGGGAGGGGCATGGTTAGCAGGGGGGGGTTATATGGAGCAGGGGAGGGGTTATGGTGATAGGGAGCAGGGGAGGGGTTATGGTGGAGCAGGGGAGGGGTTATGTGAAGCAGGGAGGGGTTATGGTGAAAGCAGGGGAGGGGTTATGTGATGGTTAGCAGGGGAGGGGTGATGGTTAGCAGGGAGGGGTTATGTGATGGGGAGCAGGGGAGGGGTTATGGTGATGGTTAGCAGGGAGGGGTGATGGTTAGCAGGGAGGGGTTATGGTGATGGGGAGCAGGGGAGGGGTTATGGTGATGGGGAGCAGGGGAGGAGTTATGGGGAGCAGAGTAGGGATTATGGATGGGACACAGATGTCTCTGTCCTGATTGGTTGTTGGGGTGTCACGCAGGACACATGCAGATAATTGGACGGTTTCCCGTGGTCTCCCCCTGCAGGACATCTACAAGCCGCGCAGGAAGTACAAGAGACTAGAGGGCGCCGCTGAGCTGACAGACGAGGAGAGCCGCGTACACTCCACCCTCCTGGAGTACGGCAGGTACGAAGCTCCGCCCACCGCAGCCGATTCTCATCCTTCATTTTTCTATTCATTTCCTCTCTGCTCGGCATATTTCAGTTCATTCTCCGCTCTCTCCCCAGCACTCTGCTCTCTCCTGCCATGTGAGTACGCTCCGTGTGACTGTGACCCCCCCCCCCCCCTTCTTGGGTGACCCGATATTCCAGCCCCAGATTATTGCCTGCGTGTGGCCCCCCGAGATCATAGATCACTGCACTCTGGGTCATCCTCCCCTTCCTGCTATGACATGGGGGCGGGGCTTGTGTTGGCATATCAAGGGGTGTGGCCTGTAAAGAATGTGTGTGCCAGGGCAGTGTTATATGTGGGTGTGACAACCCAAGGAGGGGGCGGGGTAATGACAACTCTTCAATAAGGCCGAGACTCCACATGTACAGTTGCAGGAAAAAGTCAGTGACCCCCCCTTGGGTTCCGTGGAGTTTTGCATGAATTGGGCATAAAATGTGCTCTGAACGTCATCTAAGTCACAACAATAGAAGAACACAGTCTGCTGAACATAATACTACACAAACATTACATGTTGCCATGGTTTCATTACCGCATGTCTCCCCTCCCTGTATGACATCACTGTCTGTAATCCGATCTCTCCTCCTCCCTGTATGACATCACTGTCTGTAATCCGATCTCTCCTCCTTCCTGTATGACATCACTGTCTGTAATCTGATCTCCCCTCCTCCCTGTATGTCATCACTGTCTGTAATCTGATCCCTCCTCCTCCCTGTGTGACATCACTGTCTGTAATCTGATCTCCCCTCCTCTGTGTGACATCACTGTCTGTAATCTGATCTCTCCTCCTCCCCCTCCCTGTATGACATCACTGTCTGTAATCTGATCTCCCCTCCTCCTCCTGTATGTGACATCACTGTCTGTAATCTGATCTCCCCTCCTCCTCTGTGTGACATCACTGTCTGTAATCTGATCTCTGATCTCCCCTCCTCTGTGTGACATCACTGTCTGTAATCTGATCTCCCCTCCTAATCTGATCATCTCCCCTCCTCCCTGTATGACATCACTGTCTGTAATCTGATCTCTCTCCTCCTTGTGTGACATCACTGTATGATCTCCCCTCCTCATGACATCACTGTCTGTAATCTGATCTCCCCTCTCTCTGTGTGACATCACTGTCTGTAATCTGATCTGATCTTCCCTCTCCTCTGTGTGACATCACTGTCTGTAATCTGATCTCCCCTCCTCTCTGTGTGACATCACTGTCTGTAATCTGATCTCTCCTCCTCTCTGTGTGACATCACTGTGTGTAATCTGATCTCCCCTCCTCCTGTGACATCACTGTGTAATCTGATCTCTCCTCCTCTCTGTGTGACATCACTGTGTGTAATCTGATCTCCCCTCCTCTCTGTGTGACATCACTGTGTGTAATCTGATCTCCCCTCCTGACTCTGTGTGACATCACTGTCTGTAATCTGATCTCCCCCCCTCTCTGTGTGACATCACTGTGTGTAATCTGATCTCTCCCCTCCCTGTGTGACATCACTGTGTGTGACATCACTGTGTGTAATCTGATCTCCCCTCCTCTCTGTGTGACATCACTGTGTGTAATCTGATCTCCCCTCCTCTGTGTGTGACATCACTGTGTGTAATCTGATCTCCCCTCCTCTGTGTGTGACATCACTGTGTGTAATCTGATCTCCCCTCCTCTGTGTGACATCACTGTCTGTAATCTGATCTCCCCTCCTCTCTGTGTGACATCACTGTGTGTAATCTGATCTCCCCCCTCTCCTCCCTGTGTGACATCACTGTGTGTAATCTGATCTCCCCTCCCCTGTATGACATCACTGTGTGTAATCTGATCTCACCTCCTCTGTATGACATCACTGTGTGTAATCTGATCCCCTCCTCCTCTGTATGACATCACTGTGTGTAATCTGATCCCCCTCCTCTGTATGACATCACTGTGTGTAATCTGATCTCCCCTCCTCCCTGTGTGACATGACCTGTGGTGACTCCTCCCCCTCACGGTGTCTGTATCCTGTGTTTCAGGCGGTATGGACTCAGTAAGCCGGGGAAGACAGACAAGGTTTGTGTGGATTCGTTCGGTTGGAGACAATATTCGATTCCTGATCCCTGTTGTGCCCCCTATTGGACGTGCAGTGTGCTGACCTTTATCCCCGTCCTCTGTTGTCTCCTCAGCAGGAGGACCACAAGGTGTCTGTCCCGTCTGGACTGGCTGGTAAAGGGGAGTCAGGGAGGAGGATGAGCTGCAGGCCCAGGAAGAGGTGAGCGATCCCTGTCTGTGGCTCCAGGGACGGTGCAGGAGGCGGCCATCTTGCCTGTGGTACTGGGTGCCGGATGGGAGGTGTGATGGGGGACACAGGACTTTGGAGACTGTCGGGTTCCAGTGCCGCCTACAGGAGGGCCGGCCCAAACCAAACTGTTGTGGGCAGTGCAGTCTGTTCCCTCATCTGTAGGGGGCGCTCAACAGCCTGGAGAGGAAGTCAGGGGAAATGTGGTTTCTGGGTCTTGGAGAAAAGTGTTCAGGTTGGCTCTGTTACATCCATGTGACCTCTGGCGGCCATCTTGGGGTCAGCACAGTCTTTATAAGTCCCCGCCCCCGGGTTTTGTTGCACAATTGCAAAGTGGCTAATATCAGGAGAGAGACCCCGCCTGTCGGGGGAAGTGAAGCTTCCAGACAAGTTGGGTACAGGATGGGGACTCTCAGTCCTGCAAAGAAGCCTCCCCTTTGTGATCGGACCGCCCTCTGAAACAGACGTTGTCGGCACCTCCTCTGCACTTGAACTGATATGAGTGTTTGCCAAGGCGGTGCTCTCCCAAAGGGGGGGGGGGGGAGAGTGCTACATTGCAGCCGGACTCTCTGCCGCACCACCGCACCGCCCTGCCCCCCCCCCCCCCACATGCTGGCCGCACGCCAGGAGGAGTTTCCGTTTTCAGAACGTTGGATTTTCTTATAGCGAGTCAAATTAAAATGTTTTCCACGGAAAACTCGAAGATGGAAAATTTCCCTTGAAAAAACGAATTTCTTTCTGTGGAGGTGGTTGTGTTCAGGAGAGGCGTGTCCCTCCCGTGGCCGGGGCGTGGTCCCTCCCGTGGCCGGGGCGTGGTCCCTCCCGTGGCCGGGGCGTGGTCCCTCCCGTGGCCGGGGCGTGGTCCCTCCCGTGGCCGGGGCGTGGTCCCTCCCGTGGCCGGGGCGTGGTCCCTCCCGAGGCCGGGGCGTGGTCCCTCCCGTGGCCGGGGCGTGGTCCCTCCCGAGGCCGGGGCGTGGTCCCTACCCGTGGCCGGGGCGTGGTCCCTCCCGTGGCCGGGGCGTGGTCCCTCCCGAAGCCGGGCGCGTCCCTCCCGAGATGGGGCGTGTCCCTCCCGAGGCGGGGCGTGTCCCTCCCGAATGTGACGTGTCCCTCCCGAGCCGGGGAGCTGTCCCCTCCCGAGGCGGGGCGTGTCCCTCCGAGATGTGGCGTGTCCCTCCCGAGGGCCAGGGCGTGTCCCGCCGAGATGTGGCGTGTCCCTCCCGAGGCGGGGCGTGTCCCTCCCGAGATGTGCCGCGTCCCTCCCGAGGCGGGGCGCGTCCCTCCCGTGGCCGGGCGCGCGGTCCCTCCCGAGGCCGGGGCGCGGTCCCCCTCCCGAGGCCGGGGCGCGGTCCCCCTCCCGAGGCCGGGGCGCGGTCCCTCCCGAGGCCGGGGGCGCGGTCCCTCCCGAGGCCGGGGCGGAGGTCCCTCCCGAGGCCGGGGCGCGGTCCCTCCCGAGGCCGGGGCGCGGTCCCTCCCGAGGCCGGGGCGCGGGTCCCCTCCCGAGGCCGGGGCGCGGTCCCTCCCGAGGCCGGGGCGCGGTCCCTCCCGAGGCCGGGGCGCGGTCCCTCTCCCACCCGAGGCCGGGGCGTGGCCCTCCCGAGATGTGGCGTGTCCCTCCCGAGGCGGGGCGTGTCCCCCTCCGTGGGCGGGGCGTGTCCCTCCCGAGGCCGGGGCGCGTCCCTCCGAGATGTGGCGCGGGCCCTCCCGAGGCGGGGCGTGTCCCTCCCGAGGCGGGGCGTGTCCCTCCCGAGGCGGGGGCGTGTCCCTCCCGAGGCGGGGCGTGTCCCTCCCGAGGCGGGGCGTGTCCCTCCCGAGATGTGGCGTGTCCCTCCCGAGGCGGGGCGTGCCCCCTCCGTGGCGGGGAGTGTCCCTCCCGAGGCGGGGCGTGTCCCTCCGAGGCCGAGCGTTTTGAATCTCCTCCAGACGACTTGGGTGGATCCATCAGGACTCAGTAACGTGTGCTTTGCTTTCCTCTAGCTGCGTATCAAGGCTCTGATGACGGGGAATGGCGGCCATGGACTTGGATCAGGTGAGTCTCTCAGACTCCGCCTCTCTGAGGGCGGGAAGTCGTCCCGTGTCTAACCTTCGATGTCCCTTCAGGGTCGGCTGACGGCGAGCTCGGTGGGGCAGATTGTGGGCTTGCAGTCGGAGGAGATCAAGCAGATGGTGTCGGAGTACGCGGAGAAGGTGAGACGTCCCTAGAGATCATCCTCTGCTCTGATAGGTGGATAGCCGCCAGGCTCCACCCTCCATATCCACGCCCCTTTTTCCACTCCTCCGTTGGAGTGACACGCCTCCTCTGTCTTCTCCAGCAATCAGAGCTCAGCACCGAGGAGAGACCGGAGAGTGTGGGAGCCGCCCAGCAACATCGCAGGAAGGTGGCCGCTCTCAACAAACAGATCACCCACAGGAGCAAAACCCTGGAGCAGGTAGGTGGAGCAGGGGAGGAGCTGGTGGAAGGGGCGGAGCGGGACCAGGGATGGGGGGAATGAGCGGAGCTGGACCAGAGATGGGGAATGGGCAGAGCGGGACCAGGGATGGGGGAATGGGCAGAGCGGGACCAGGGATGGGGGAATGGGCGGAGCGGGGCCAGGGATGGGGGAATGGGCGCAGCAGGGCCAGGAATGGGGGGGAAATGGGCGCGGCAGGGCCAGGGATGGGGGAATGGGGGGGCAGGACCAGGGATGGGGGAATGTGCGGAGCAGGACCAGGGATGGGGGAATGGGCGGAGCAGGACCAGGATGGGGGAATGGGCGGAGCAGGACCAGGGATGGGGGAATGGGCGGAGCAGGACCAGGGATGGGGGAATGGGCGGAGCAGGACCAGGGATGGGCGGAATGGGCGGGGCTGGACCAGGGATGGGGGGGAATGGGCGGGGCAGGACCAGGGATGGGGGAATGGGCGGGGTTAGGACTAGGGATGGGGGCAATGGGCAGGGGAGGACCAGGGAGGGGGGCAATGGGCGGGGCAGGACCAGGGATGGAGGGAATGGGCGGGGCAGGACCAGGGATGGGGGGAATGGGCGGGGCAGGACTAGGGATGGGGGCAATGGGCAGTAATGGATGGAGTAGGACTGGGTGGGGTGCAGGGGGTGGAACATGGACCGAAATATTACAAAGGCAAGGGGAGGGGTTTATAGGCCGGCAGTGTACCATAAGGGGCGGAGTCTGTAGGCCGGCAGTGTACGCCGTAAGGGGCGGAGTCTGTAGGCCGGCAGTGTACGCCGTAAGGGCGGAGTCTGTAGGCCGGCAGTGTACGCCGTAAGAGGCGGAGTCTATAAGCCGGCAGTGTGCGCCGTAAGGGGCGGAGTCTGTAGCCCAGCAGTGTACACCGTAAGGGGCGGAGTCTAGCCCAGCAGTGTGTTGATGTCGCGGTGACCTCCTGTCTTCTCTCCTCAGATGAGGGGGGAATCCTCCCGCTTGCGCTCGCAGTGTGATGACGCCAAGAAGAAGCTGTCGGCGGTAGGAAGGGGGCGGGAGGCGGCTTTGTGGGCGGGGCCTTTCCTGCTGGTGCTGAATATTATCTTCCTGTGTTCAGGTCACAGAAGTCGCTGAGAAGCTGAACGAAGAACTTTCCACTCTGGAGAGCGTGGAGGCCAAAGCCGACCCGGGGGTGAGAGACCGCCCCCCGTCACAGCATGGGGGACCCCCTGATATACAATGAGAATGGGGGACCCCCCCTGATATACAATGTCTGAGAATAGGGGACCCCTTGATATACAATGTCTGAGAATAGGGGACCCCCGATATACAATGTCTGAGAATGGGGGACCCCCGATATACAATGTCTGAGAATAGGGGACCCCCCGATATACAATGTCTGAGAATAGGGGACCCCCGATATACAATGTCTGAGAATGGGGGACCCCCCAATGTCTGAGATAGGGGACCCCGTTTTTATACAATGTCTGAGAATAGGGGACCCCCCCCCCGATATACAATGTCTGAGAACAGGGGACCCCCCGATATACAATGTCTGAGAAACAGGGGACACCCCGATATACGTCTGAGAATAGGGGACCCCCTGATATACAATGTCTGAGAATGGGGGACCCCCGTGAGATACAATGTCTGAGAATGGGGGACCCCCGATATACAATGTCTGAGAATAGGGGACCCCCGAAATACAATGTCTGAGAATGGGGACCCCCCGATATACAATGTCTGAGAATAGGGGACCCCCCGATATACAATGTCTGAGAATAGGGGACCCCCGTTATACAATGTCTGAGAACAGGGGACCCCCCGATATACTATGTCTGAGAATAGGGGACCCCCCAATATACAATGTCTGAGAACAGGGGACCCCCCAATATACAATGTCTGAGAACAGGGGACCCCCCGATATACAATGTCTGAGAGAACAGGGGACCCCCCAATATACAATGTCTGAGAACAGGGGACCCCCCAATATACAATGTCTGAGAATAGGGGACCCCCAGATATACGTCATGTCTGAGAGCAGGGGACCCCCGATATACTATGTCTGAGAACGGGGGACCCCCCATATACAATGTCTGAGAACGGGGGGACCCCCCATATACAATGTCTGAGAACAGGGGACCCCCCAATATACAATGTCTGAATAGGGGACCCCCCGATATACAATGTCTGAGAATAGGGGACCCCCCGATATACAATGTCTGAGAACAGGGGACCCCCCCGATATACAATGTCTGAGAACAGGGGACCCCCCGATATACAATGTTTGAGAGACTGAGGGGACCCCCCCCAATGTCTGAGAACAGGGACCCCCCCGATATACAATGTCTGAGAACAGGGGACCCCCCCGATATACAATGTCTGAGAACAGGGGACCCCCCGATATACAATGTCTGAGAGACCCCCCATATACAATGTCTGAGAACAGGGGACCCCCCCCCGATATACAATGTCTGAGAACAGGGGACCCCCGATATACAATGAGAACAGGGGACCCCCATATACATACAATGTCTGAGAACATTGAGACCCCCCGATATACAATGTCTGAGAAGGGGACCCCCCGATATACAATGTTTGAGAACAGGGGACCCCCCGATATACAATGTCTGAGAATACAATGTCTGAGAACGGGGGACCCCCCGATATACAATGTCAATGTCTGAGAATAGGGGACCCCCGATATACAATGTCTGAACAGGGGACCCCCCAGATATTAATATATACAATGTCTGAGGACCCCCGAACGGGGGACCCCCCATATACAATGTCTGAGAAAAAGGGGACCCCCCCCAATGTCTGAAAAACCCCCCATATACAATGTCTGAGGGACCCCCGATATACCTATGAGAATAGGGGGAATGTCTGAGAACAGGGGACCCCCCATATACAATGTCTGAGAATATGGGGACCCCCCGATATACAATGTCTGAGAACAGGGGACCCCCGATATACAATGTTTGAGAACAGGGGACCCCCGATATACAATGTCTGAGAACAGGGGGACCCCCCCGATATACAATGTCTGAGAATAGGGGGACCCCCGATAATATACAAATGTCTGAGAACAGGGGACCCCCCCGAATATACAATGTCTGAGAACAGGGGACCCCCCGATATACAATGTCTGAGAACAGGGGACCCCCCGATATATGCGCAACAGGAAGAACAATGTCTGAGAAACGGGGACCCCCCGATATATATGTCTGAGATATACAATGGGGGACCCCCCGATATACTATGTCTGAGAACGGGGGGACCCCCCGATATACAATGTCTGAGAACGGGGGGACCCCCCGATATACAATGTCTGAGAACGGGGGGACCCCCCGATATACAATGTCTGAGAACGGGGGGACCCCCCGATATACAATGTCTGAGAGAACGGGGGGACCCCCGATATACAATGTCTGAGAATAGGGGACCCCCCCGATATACAATGTCTGAGAACAGGGGACCCCCCCCGAAAAACAATGTCTGAGAACAGGGGACCCCCCGATATACAATGTCTGAATAGGGGACCCCCCGATATACAATGTCTGAGAATAGGGGACCCCCCGATATACAATGTCTGAGAACAGGGGACCCCCCGATATACAATGTCTGAGAATGGGGGGACCCCCGATATATACAAATGTCTGAGAATAGGGGACCCCCCGATATACAATGTCTGAGAACAGGGGACCCCCCGATATACAATGTTGATGAAATAGGGGACCCCCCGATATACAATGTCTGAGAACAGGGGACCCCCCGATATACAATGTCTGAGAACAGGACCCCCCCCGATATACAATGTCTGAGAACAGGGGACCCCCCATATACAATGTCTGAGAATAGGGGACCCCCCCCATATACAATGTCTGAGAACGGGACCCCCGATATACAAATGTCTGAGAACGGGGGACCCCCGATATACAATGTCTGAGAACGGGGACCCCCCCGATATACAATGTCTGAGAACGGGGGACCCCCGATATACAAATGTCTGAGAACAGGGGACCCCCGATATACAATGTCTGAGAACGGGGGACCCCCGATATACAATGTCTGAGAATAGGGGACCCCCCCGATATACAATGTCTGAGAAACAGGGGACCCCCCGAATATACAATGTCTGAGAACAGGGGACCCCCCGATATACAATGTCTGAGAATAGGGGACCCCCCGATATACAATGTCTGAGAATGGGGGACCCCCCCGATATACAATGTCTGAGAACGGGGGACCCCCCGATATACAATGTCTGAGAACGGGGGACCCCCCGATATACAATGTCTGAGAACGGGGGACCCCCCGATATACAATGTCTGAGAATAGGGGACCCCCCGATATACAATGTCTGAGAATAGGGGACCCCCCGATATACAATGTCTGAGAACAGGGGACCCCCGATATACAATGTCTGAGAACAGGGGACCCCCCGATATACAATGTCTGAGAATAGGGGACCCCCCGATATACAATGTCTGAGAACGGGGGACCCCCCGATATACAATGTCTGAGAACGGGGGACCCCCCGATATACAATGTCTGAGAACGGGGGACCCCCCGATATACAATGTCTGAGAATGGGGGACCCCCCGATGTCTCTGAGAATAGGGGACCCCCCGATATACTATGTCTGAGAACAGGGGACCCCCCGATATACAATGTCTGAGAATAGGGAACCCACTGATACAGATGTGTGGGGGGCCCCCCCTATATGGAATGTCTCGGTGGGGGCCCCCCCTATATAGAATGTCTCGGTGGGGGCCCCCCCTATATAGAATGTCTCGGTGGGCCCCCCCCCCCCTATATAGAATGTCTCGGTGGGGGCCCCCCAGCACTAATGTTTTTCCTCCCCCCTCCCCAGCGTCCTGCTGAAGTTGCGCTCTCTGGTGGCCATGAATGAGAGTCTGAAGTCTCAGGAGTTGCAGTTTCGGGCTCATTGCCGGGTGAGTTCTGATCTTCTATACATCATCCAGAGGGGAGCCCCGCCCCCTACCCACCTCTCTGTACCGCCCCCTACCCACCTCCCTGTACCGCCCCCTACCCACCTCCCTGTACCGCCCCCTACCCACCTCCCAGTACCGCCCCCTACCCACCTCCCAGTACCGCCCCTTTTAGAGAATACAGAACAAAGTATCATTTGTATGGAATGTGGTCATTATAACAGGAAATGCAGCAACCATAGACCCCCCAGCAACAATAGATCCCCACAAATAGCCTACCCCAGCAACAATAGATCCCCCCCCTGCAACAATAGACCCCACTCCAGCAACAGTAGTCCCCCCCCCAGCAGAAACAGACCCCACTCCAGCAACAATAGACCCCCCCAGCAACCTAAGATCCCCCACAAATAGCCTACCCCAGCAACAATAGATCCCCCTGCAACAATAGACCCCACTCCAGCAACAATACCCCCCCACAAAAACAGACCCCACTCCAGCAACGGTAGTCCCCCCCCCCCCCCCCCCCAGCAAAAATAGATCATTCACACACCAAAAATGGACCACCCAGAACAAAATGCCATCCCTAACAACAAAAGATCCACCCCAGCAAAATCAGTCCCCCAGCAGCAGCATCAATAGACCCTCCAGCAGCCAGGAAATCCCTAATCACATGAGCCCTCCTGGCAGATCCCCAGCAGCAACAATAGACCCTCCAGCCCACCCCTCGCCATTACATACATTCAGTGCCGGAGGTGCTGGAGCCTCATTGCCCCGCGTTCCCGCTGCAAATAAAAGCCCCGACCCCAACGATCGCCCAACTGTAGGAGGTACAAGATGGAGCCCACATGCAAACTAAGCTGGAGCCTTTCCCCTGCAGTGCCCCCTAGTGGCAGAAATGCAGATTTATTTGTTTGCATTGAGGAGCTCGGTGTTACTTGGATTGTATTCCAGGATTTTCTCGTCTTCAGCTGAGAGAACTTACAATAACTTTTCCTAAAGTCTGAGAAATCTTCCATGAAAGCTGATTGGCTGCTTCTCTTATGGGTCACCAGGGTGTAGGTTCCTTCTGCCCTCCTGACACCCGTGTTCTGTGACCGCGGGCTACCGCTCAGCCAATCCTGGCTCAGGAGAGGTCCTTAAAGTCGAGATCCACTCAGATTCCTGGACCGGCAGCGGACTGAGAGCCTGCGCCAGCCGCTCCCACCCCCTCCTCAACCTGGGGGGCTCCAGTAAGTGCTGCGGGGGGGGGGCGGGGCAGAGCTGAGAGCCTGCGCCAGCCGCTCCCGCCCCCTCCTCAGCCTGGGGGGCTCCAGTAAGTGCTGCAGGGGGGGGGGCCTAGAGCTGAGAGAGGGGACAGTCGCCGGCTCTCTGCAGGCCCTGAGCGATCAGCGGTCATGTGATCAGCGATGTTTGATCGCTCAGTTCTCGGTGTTGGAGGCGGCGGGGGGCAGCTGTAGCTGGGATCGGTGCGGCAGCCACCTAGGGGAGTATGATCGATTCATGTCATAGATCTATCATTGTGAACGAACGTTCCATCTCCTTCCTGTTCCTGTCACACCGACCTACCTGCCTGTACTGACCTGGAGACCGCGCGGCGTGTTAACCCTTTGTTGTGTCTGCAGGAGGAAATGTCCCGTCTGCAGCAGAACATCGATCGTCTGAGAGCCGAATCTGCAGAGAGCAGCGAGGAGAAGGTAACGGACGGGCTGTTGTGGGGGGCGGGGTGTCCCTTGGGGGGGGTGTCCCGGGGGGGGGGGTTGGAGGGCCCCGGAGGAGGTCTCTTATCAGACTGAAGGGTGACTCCGCCTCTTCTGTTTCAGGAGAGGGGTCTGGTGTTTGAACAGCAGCTGAAGGCGGAGCGCGAAAAACTGCAGAAGATCCGACTTCTCCTGGTGAGTGGGGACCCCGGGTGGGGGGGGGAGTGGGGACCCCGGGTGGGGACCTGGGGAGGGGGGGGGGGGGGGACCCGGGGGGGGGGGGGGAGTGGGGACCCCGGTTGGGGGTGGGGGGGATTCTTCTGACATTGTCCAATCACCCACCGTACGTATGTGTAGCGGAGGGACCCCAAACCCCAGCAGAGGTAGGAGGGCCCCAGAGAACGTTCTCAGGATGTCTGCAGAAACCAACATTGTGTGGCCCTTTCCCTCTCGTTACACTCCAGGCTCGCAGGAATCGGGAAATCGCCATCTTGCAGCGCAAAATTGATGAAGTTCCGAGCCGAGCGGAGCTGACGCAATATCAGAAGAGGTTCATTGAGCTCTATGCACAAGGTGGGGTCCCCTGTACAGAACTGTGTGGTGTCGTCCAGTAGGCGGAGCCTCTCACTCTGGCCCCTCCCTCTACTCTGTATTGTAATGTCATTACTCCTGTCATCCAGTAGGCGGAGCCTCTCACTCTGGCCCCTCCCTCTACTTTGTATTGTAATGTCATTACTCCTGTCATCCAGTAGGCGGAGCCTCTCACTCTGGCCCCTCCCTTTGCTCCTCTGTATTGTAATGTCATTACTCCTGTCATCCAGTAGGCGGAGCCCCTCTCAATCTGGTCCCTCCCTCTGCTCCTCTGTATTGTAATGTCGTTACTCGTGTCATCCAGTAGACGGAGCCACTTTCACTCTGGCCCCTCCCTCTGCTCCTCTGTATTGTAATGTGATTACTCGTGTCATCCAGTAGGCGGAGCCCCTCTCACTCTGGCCCCTCCCTCTGCTCCTCTATTGTAGTGTCACCCAGTAGGCGGAGCCCCTCTCACTCTGGTCTTCCCTCTGCTCCTCTATTTTGTAATGTCATTACTTGTGTCATCCAGTAGGCGGAGCTCCTCTCTGGCCCCTCCTTCTACTCTGCATTGTAATGTCATTACTCCAGTCATCCGGTAGGTGGAGCACCTCTCACTCTGGCCCCTCCCTCTGCTCCTCTGTTTTGTAATGTCTTTACTTGTGTCATCCAGTAGGTGGAGCCCCTCTCACTCTGGTCTTCCCTCTGCTCCTCTGTATTGTAATGTCATTACTTGTCATCCAGTAGGCGGAGCCTCTTTCATTCTGGTCTTCCCTCTGCTCCTCTGTATTGTAATGTCATTACTCGTGTCATCCAGTAGGCAGAGCCCCTCTCACTCTGGTCCCTCCCTCTGCTCCTCTATATTGTAGTGTCATCCAGTAGGCGGAGCCCCTCCCACTCTGGTCTTCCCTCTGCTCCTCTGTATTGTAATGTCATTACTCGTGTCATCCAGTAGGCGGAGCCCCTCTCACTCTGGTCCCTCCCTCTGCTCCTCTATATTGTAGTGTCATCCAGTAGACGGAGCCACTCTCACTCTGGCCCCTCCCTCTGCTCCTCTGTAGTGTCATCCAGTAGGCAGAGCCTCACTCTGGCTCCTCCCTCTGCTCCTCTGTATTGTAGTCATCCAGTAGGCGAAGCCTCTCTGGCTCCTCCCTCTGCATTGTCATCCAGTATGCGGAGCCTGTCTCTGGCCCCTCCCTCTGCTCTGTATTGTAGTCATCCAGTAGGCGGAGCCTCTCACTCTGGCCCCTCCCTCTGTTCTTGCAGTGTCAGCCACCCACAAGGAGACAAAGCAATTCTTCACCCTCTACAACACGCTGGATGACAAGAAGGTTTATCTGGAGAAGGAGGTGAGAGATGATAGGTCACATGACAGGAAGTCTCTCCCCTCGTAGCCCCGCCCACAGTGATGGCGGTGAATTGACGGATTTGTCATTTTCTCTTTGTAGGTGAATTTGCTGAATTCTATTCATGATAATTTCCAGCAGTAAGTACAATCTATGATTATGGGGGGGGGCAAAAGGAGGAGGGAGGGGGGGGGACAGGAGGAGGGGGGCAAAAGGAGGAGGGAGGGGACAGGAGGAGGAGGGGGAAGGAGGAATGGGTCGCTGTTGTGGGGGGGGGGGGGGGGGGGGGGGGGGGGGGGGGGGGGGGGGGGGGGGGGTACGACAGGAGGAGGAACGGGTCGCTGTGGTTGGGGGGACAGGAGGAGGAACGGGCTGGGGGGGGAGGGGCGGGGAGCAGAGGAGGAATGGGTTGGGCAAGGGATAGAGGAGAAATGGGTCGCTGTGGTTGGGGGGGGGGGTAGCAGGAGGAGGAGGAACGGGTCACTGTGGTCAGGGAAGGGAGGAGGGGTGGGTCGCCGTGGTCAGGGAAGGGAGGAGGGGCGGGTCACTGTGGTCGGGGGGGGGGGGTCAGGAGGAGGGGCGGGTCGCCGTGGTCAGGGAAGGGAGGAGGGGCGGGTCGCCGTGGTCAGGGAAGGGAGGAGGGGCGGGTCTCTATGGTCAGGGAAGGGAGGAGGGGCGGGTCGCCGTGGTCGGGGGAAGTCAGGAGGAGAGGGGCGGGGTCGCCGTGGTCAGGGAAGGGAGGAGGGGTGGGTCGCCGTGGTCGGGGGGTCAGGAGGAGGGGCGGGTTGGGTACAGTCCCCCAGTGACAATTCCCACCCGTAGCTCCTCCCCCTGCAGATGATGTCACCTCACAATGTACAGACGGTGGGTTGTCCTCTCTCCTCCTCAGGGCGATGGCGTCATCCGGAACGCGGGATCAGTTCCTGCGGCAGATGGAGCAGATTGTGGACGGGATCCGACAGAACAGGAATAAGGTACAACCCTGCGAGGAGATGTCATTGCAGCACACACCTTCATGAAATCGGGGTGACTTTGGGGGGGTGTCGGAGCCCTGTGGGCAGTATTGGGGTGACTGGGAGGGTATGAGCGCTCCGTGGGCAGTATTGGGGTGACTCTGGAGGGTATGAGCGCTCCGTGGGCAGTATTGGGGTGACTCTGGAGGGTGTGGGATCCCCGTGGGCAGTATTGGGGTGACTCTGGAGGGTGGGATCCCCGTGGGCAGTATTGGGGTGACTCTGGAGGGTGTGGGATCCCCGTGGGCAGTATTGGGGTGACTCTGGAGGGTGTGGGATCCCCGTGTGGCAGTATTGGGGTGACTCTGGAGGGGTGTGGGATCCTCGTGGGCAGTATTGGGGTGACTCTGGAGGGTGTAAGATCCCCGTGGGCAGTATTGGGGTGACTCTGGAGGGTGTGGATCCCCGTGGGCAGTATTGGTGTGGCTGGGGTGGTATCGGAGCCCCGTGGGCAGTATTGGGGTGACTCTGGAGGGTGTGGGATCCCCGTGGGCAGTATTGGTGTGGCTGGGGTGGTATCGGAGCCCCGTGGGCAGTATTGGGGTGACTCTGGAGGGTGTGGGATCCCCGTGGGCAGTATTGGGATGACTCTGGAGGGTGTGAGATCCCCGTGGGCAGTATTGGGGTGACTCTGGAGGGTGTGGGATCCCCGTGGGCAGAATTGGAGTGACTCTGGAGGGTGTGGGATCCCCGTGGGCAGTATTGGGATGACTCTGGAGGGTGTGAGATCCCCGTGGGCAGTATTGGGGTGACTCTGGAGGGTGTGGGATCCCCGTGGGCAGTATTGGGGTGACTCTGGAGGGTGTGGGATCCCCGTGGGCAGTATTGGTGTGGCTGGGGTGGTATCGGAGCCCCGTGGGCAGTATTGGGGTGACTCTGAGGGTGTGGGATCCCCGTGGGCAGTATTGGGATGACTCTGGAGGGTGTGAGATCCCCGTGGGCAGTATTGGGGTGACTCTGGAGGGTGTGGGATCCGTGGGCAGTATTGGGGTGACTCTGGAGGGTGTGGGATCCCCATGGGCAGTATTGGTGTGGCTGGGGTGGTATCGGAGCCCCGTGGGCAGTATTGGGGTGACTCTGGAGGGTGTGGGATCCCCGTGGGCAGTATTGGGATGACTCTGGAGGGTGTGAGATCTCCGTGGGCAGTATTGGGGTGACTCTGGAGGGTGTGGGATCCCCGTGGGCAGTATTGGGGTGACTCTGGAGGGTGTGGGATCCCCGTGGGCAGTATTGGGGTGACTCTGGAGGGTATGAGAGCCCCGTGGGCAGTATTGGGGTGACTCTGGAGGGTGTGGGATCCCCGTGGGCAGTATTGGTGTGGCTGGGGTGGTATTGGATCCCCGTGGGCAGTACTGGGGTGACTGGGAGGGTGTCGGAGCCCCGTGGGCAGTATTGGGGTGACTCTGGAGGGTGTGGGATCCCCGTGGGCAGTATTGGTGTGGCTGGGGTGGTATTGGAGCCCCGTGGGCAGTATTGGGGTGACTCTGGAGGGTGTCGGAGCCCCGTGGGCAGTATTGGGGTGACTCTGGAGGGTGTCGGAGCCCCGTGGGCAGTATTGGGGTGACTCTGGAGGGTGTCGTAGCCCCGTGGACAGTATTGGGGTGACTCTGGAGGGTATGAGAGCCCCGTGGGCAGTATTGGGGTGACTCTGGAGGGTGTGGGATCCCCGTGGGCAGTATTGGTGTGGCTGGGGTGGTATTGGATCCCCGTGGGCAGTACTGGGGTGACTGGGAGGGTGTCGGAGCCCCGTGGGCAGTATTGGGGTGACTCTGGAGGGTGTGGGATCCCCGTGGGCAGTATTGGTGTGGCTGGGGTGGTATTGGAGCCCCGTGGGCAGTATTGGGGTGACTCTGGAGGGTGTCGGAGCCCCGTGGGCAGTATTGGGGTGACTCTGGAGGGGGTGTCGGAGCCCCGTGGGCAGTATTGGGGTGACTCTGGAGGGTGTCGTAGCCCCGTGGACAGTATTGGGGTGACTGGGGTGCTTTGTCCCCCTCAGATGGAGAAGAAGAAGCAGGAGAATAAGATGCGGAGGGATCAGCTGAACGATGAATATCTGGAGATGCTGGAGAAGCAGAGATTGTACTTCAAGACGGTCAAAGAGTTCAAAGAGGTGAGAGGGGGCGGGGTCCCTGGTTCTGGGGGCGTGATTCTGGGGGTGGGGTCCCTGGTTTTGAGGGCGGAGTCCCTGGTTCCAGCCCTTTTCTCTCTGACACTATGGGGTGTGGTCACGGAAGGTCGGAGGTTGGATTGGCTGGGGATTCTCCGTACATTCACCTAATATATTCCCCGCCCCCTGTCTCCTGTCTCCAATCACATTCATCGCTTTATTTCCATTCACTTGGCTGAGAGAATATGGAGGAATCCCCCAATCTATAGTCCCCTCCCCCCACAGAGAAATCATTTCCCACCTTTAATGTGACCCATAAACTGTACAACTCGGCTGATGGTGGGGGGAGGTAAACATAAAACACTAGAATAATGTGGTTGCATAAGTGTTCACACCCTCCTAGGACTGGGGATGTATCTGTGCAGTGACATCCGGGGGGTGTAGACTTTTTATCCACTGTAGACCTCAGTGAGCTCCGCCCTGCTCCCCATAGCCCCGCCCATAACTTGTGATTTGTTTGCAGGAGTGTCGGAGGAATGAGATGTTGCTGAGTAAGCTGAAGGAGCGCTCCGCCTGAGGGCCGTCCCACCACCCTGTATCTGTAGTATTGGGGGGGGGGGGGGGTCACCCCCAGAGGAACATCGATCGTATGCTGGACATGGGATGAACGATTCATACTACGCTCCACCTTCAGCACCCGCCATCTCTGAGATCACATCAGCTGGAAGAAAGTCAGGGAGCTGCTTCTACCATTCTATCTGCACTGTGCGATCGACTACGCCACCCTGACTGAGCTCAGATCGATCGACTACGCCACCCTGACTGAGCTCAGATCGATCGACTACGCTACCCCCTCAGATCTGAGCTCGACTACGCCAGACTCAGATCGATCGACTACGCCACCCGGACTGAGCGCAGATCGATCGACTACGCCACCCGGACTGAGCTCAGATCGATCGACTACGCCACCCGGACTGAGCTCAGATCGATCGACTACGCCACCCCACCCGGACTGAGCTCAGATCGATCGACTACGCCCACCCGGACTGAGCTCAGATCGATCGATCTACGCCACCCGGACTGAGCGCAGATCGATCGACTACGCCACCCGGACGGAGCGCAGATCGATCGACTACGCCACCCGGACGGAGCTCAGATGCTCGATCGACTACTACGCCACCCACCCGGATGGAGCTCAGATCGATCGACTACGCCCACCCTGAGGACTGCCCTGGAGCCATTGACACCTCTGAGTGTACGGTACAGATCACATGGTACCACACACGGGGGATGGGAAGGGGCTCCTGTACGGTGCAGATCACATGGTACCACACACGGGGGATGGGAAGGGGCTCCTGTACGGTGCAGATCACATGGTACCACACATGGGGATGGAATGAGATTTCTGTTTTGTTTCTTCAGTAAAATTCATGTTTGACTCCGCCTCCTGTGACAATTTATGTGAAGACTGTGACGATCGCGGCGTCAGACCCCCAGACCACCAAACTTGTGACCGAAGGACTAGCCAATCTAAAACTGTGATGTGCGTAAAAATGCCACGCCCAGCTGCACCCTGCAAAACGATTTTCCAGCTTATTGGACCACAATCGATGTACCGGCAGCTTGAATCGATTGTTACTGGGTCAGGTTAATTACGCAATGAACCCTTCACACTGCCACCACCTCCTTTTTGTACAGAGAAAGAGGAAACTCGGCAATATCAGCTCTAACACTATGATGGTTGAGGTAATCGTCTGTATACCGCGGTCACTGCAGGCCGGGTATACAGGGGGTTAAACACACACAGTAGCGCTCTTCAGCGGCAGGAATTCATAGTTTGCATTAAAGAGCTTTAGAAACAGTTCAACATTTTCAGAAAATAGGATTTATTACTAAAAGGTCAAAATGGTGCAATAAAAGTATTTACAGAAAAGATGTAATATAAATATACAGAGAACACCAGCACAGCAATGAGGTAACAAGTCTAGAGGGATAAAGTACTTGACAACGTCTTGGGATCAATTCTCCTGAACCAAAAGGATGCTTTGTCTCCCAGAGTTGGTTCCCATGTTAAAGAGAGAATTCTTTCACTTCTCACACACCTCAACTCAGCCTAGCATTTTTCTGGCAACTCCACAGGGTGTCTCCCTGGAGCAGGGAACCAATCGCCTCATTTGGGGAGGGAGTTGTAGGTGGAGACCTCAGGCTATGACCAAAGCCTGCACAAATTATATTATGGTTCATAACTTATTCTCGGGGCATTTAGCAGCCTGGCCACTAGTAGATCAATATGCAGACGCATCTGCGGAACGGTTAGATATGACATACCTGCTTGAATGGTTCAGGACATATAATTTTCTGCTCTCCTGTACATGCCAGCTAGGGGGTGTCATATATCAGGGGATTTGTCTTGACGTGAGCCGTCTGAATCTGTGCTCCATGTTGTTGTAAGTCTTTCATAATCCAAGCTATGGAATCATAGGGGACATGGATGTAGAATGTGGTGTCTGGTTTATGACTTCTCTGGAATGTCTTTGAACTCCGTGAAGGACTCGGTTTATGGCTTTACGATATCCCAGATTGCACAGCTAACAGACAGCGTGGCCCCAGCTCCGTGGTGGGATTTATAGCCATGATGCCCTCCCATGGAGTTTGCTGCCCGTGATCTGCATCAAACAGACCACACGTCACTCCACAGAGGGGGAGGGGGATGAGGACAGCTGACCTGGGAGTAGAACATGATGGAAGACCCTTAACAAGATGGAGGACCGCGTCCATCTCTGTAGGCATGATTGCTTCAAAGACCAGTGAATGAGATCTGATTGGATGGTCAATGATTGGATGGGACAGGGGTGCCCAGTCCGTGTGAAGGCTGGGATGAGGTCGCCCAGTCCGTCCGTGTGAAGGACGGGATGAGGTCGCCCAGTCCGTGTGAAGGCCGGGATGAGGTCGCCCAGTCCGTGGGAACGCCGGGATGAGGTCGCCCAGTCCGTGGGAACGCCGGGATGAGTCGCCGCCCAGTCCGTGGGAACGCCGGGATGAGGTCGCCCAGTCCGTGTGAAGGACGGGATGAGGTCGCCCAGTCCGTGTGAAGGACGGGATGAGGTCGCCCAGTCCGTGTGAAGTTCGGGATGAGGTCGCCCAGTCCGTGTGAAGGCCGGGATGAGGTCGCCCAGTCCGTGTGAAGGCCGGGATGAGGTCGCCCAGTCCGTGTGAAGGCCGGATGAGGTCGCCCAGTCCGTGTGAAGGACGGGATGAGGCCGGATGAGGTCGCCCAGTCCGTGTGAAGTACCCGGGATGAGGTCGCCCAGTCCGTGTGAAGGACGGGAAGAGGGAGTCCGTGAGGTCGCCCAGTCCGTGTGAAGGACGGGAAGAGGTCGCCCAGTCCGTGTGAAGTCCGGGATGAGGTCGCCCAGTCCGTGTGAAGGACGGGATGAGGTCGCCCAGTCCGTGTGAAGGACGGGATGAGGTCGCCCAGTCCGTGTGAAGTCCGGGATGAGGTCGCCCAGTCCGTGTGAAGAGTTCCGTGTTCGGGATGAGGTCGCCCAGTCCGTGTGAAGTTCGGGATGAGGTCGCCCAGTCCGTGTGAAGTCCGGGATGAGGTCGCCAAGGCTGGGATGAGGTCGACCCCCAGTCCGGTATGGGGTAGGCCGGGGATCGGGATCAGATTGTACGGAGCAGTCTCCTGTACATTGAGAGATCCCGTGTTTACGGTTTCCCTGAAGTGATAGGACCGCCCCTGCCCCCCCTACATCAGTTCATCTCTGGGATAGGACCGCCCCTCCTCCCCCCATCAGTTCATCTCTTGGATAGGACCCGCCCCTCCCCCCCACATCAGTTCATCTCTTGGATAGGACCGCCCCTCCCCCCATCAGTCCATCGCTGGATAAGACCGCCCCTCCCCCCCACATCAGTCCATCTCTGGGATAGGACCTCCCCCCCCACATCAGTTCATCTCTGGGATAGAACCCCCCCCCATCAGTTCATCTCTGGGATAGGACCGCCCCTCCCCCCCCCCACCCCCCCCCCACATCAGTTCATCTCTGGGATAGGAATACCCGCCCCCCCCCCCCCCCCCAGTTCATCTCTGGGATAGGCCCCCCCCCCCCCCATCTCTCGCAACCATCTGAAGTTCTCCATCATACTTTGAGGGACAGAATTCAGTCGGGTTATACTGCTACCTTCAGGAGTTTTGGACAACCCACCAGATTGTAAGCCGGCCCCCACATAGCTCCTCCTCTGGCGTCTCAGTTTGTGTTCTTAGAGGAGGAACAACTTTTTGGACGTGTAATTTTTTACTTCCAAGGAGCCCAGCGGTGCATGATGTCATTCTAGCCAATCAGGATCGGGAGGATCACTCTGCTTACAGAGCCCCACAAGGACCTCCAGTGCATTCCCATTGGCCACCTCCAATGACCTGGTCCCCCCCCCCCCCCCCCCCCCCCCCCCCCCCCCACCCGAACCCTCCTCAGCACCAGCTGTTGGGTTGTTGAGTGCCTGAGACCTTGCCTCAAGTTTGGGCCTCATTCCATGGACACCCCCTGCCTACACCTAGGGGGCGGTCCTACTGCCATCAGCCAACCGGCTCCTTGGAGTCTTCTCCGGCCTGCCTGTCGCCTGAAACACGACCCGATCCCCCGCCTGAACACGACCCATCCCCCGCCTGAACACGACCCGACCCCCGTCACCTGAACACGACCCGACCCCCGCCTGAACACGGCCTGCCCGCCACCTGAACACACCTGAACCCATCCCCCCCGCCTGAACGGGGCCCGACCCCCCCGCCTGAACACGACCCGACCCCCCGCCTGAACACGGCCTGCCCGTCACCTGAACACGACCCATCCCCCGCCTGAAACGGGGCCCGACCGTCCACCTGAACACGGCCCGACCGTCACCTGAACACGGCCCGGCCGTCACCTGAACACGGCCCGACCCGTCACCTGAACACGGCCCGACCGTCACCTGAACACGACCCATCCCCCGCCTGAACACGGCCCATCCCCCGCCTGAACACGGCCCATCCCCCGCCTGAACACGGCCCATCCCCCGCCTGAACACGGCCCATCCCCCGCCTGAACACGGCCTGCCCCGTCACCTGAACACGACCCATCCCCCCCTGAACATGACCCCCCCCCCCGCCTGAACACGGCCCGACCGTCACCTGAACACGACCCATCCCCCGCCTGAACACGGGCCGACCGTCACCTGAACACGACCCATCCCCCGCCTGAACACGGGCCGACCGTCACCTGAACACGACCCATCCCCCGCCTGAACACGACCCGACCCCGCCTGAACGGGGCCCGACCCCCGCCTGAACACGAACACGACCCATCCCCCGCCTGAACACGGCCTGACCCATCCCCCGTCACCTGAACACGACCCGACCCCCGCCTGAACGGGGCCCATCCCCCCCACCTGAAACAATGACCGCCCATCACCTGAACACGACCCATCCCCCGCCTGAACACGGCCCGACCCCCGCCTGAACACGACCCATCCCCCGCCTGAACACGACCCATCCCCCGCCTGAACACGACCCATCCCCCGCCTGAACGGGGCCCGACCCCCACC